TATTCATTAGTACATTATAAGATGAATTGGAGTGAATAATGTTCGAGAAATAACCTGTTGATTGAGATTCCCCGAAGAATCCCGGTCTTCCAGATGCGGATACATATTCTTGGGGCATTGTCTGATGTCACAATATTCTTCTTGACCGTTTGGCAATGAATAACACCATGGACTTGTTTTCTTACCGCCGACGTTACGACAATAGTTTTTGGATGTTTTCAGGGATGGGTAACGCTCTGTATTGAACTCTCTGAAATATCACTTTTATATCATAAAGTTGCTCTGTGTCATATATCACACAATGAGAACTACATTTAAATTTCCATTTTTTATTACGCCTTTTTAATTTGTTATAATTTTTAATTATTTGAATCTAATATGATGATACAGAGCTGCGCCTTTCATATTGTATTATTGCTTGTATGTATTTTTGCTTGGCAATAAACCTTCTAATTCTAATTCTATCCGTGGATTATCATTGGTATCCCTTATGCAATGTCCACTAAACGAACCTCGATGTGCTCTGTGACCAATTCATGCACCGTTTACCCGACTTCGTAATCGAAACCGTTCCCTCATAACTCTTTCCACTATCAACGTAACACCAATGTGGTACCATATGATTGTCATCGGTTATCGACAAAATACCCGCATCTGGTTTATCCAACACATTTACTTTTGGTGACGACGGCGACGTTTGCTGAAAGCAATTCTTTATTATAAATTTCGTTATTTGTTTGAAAATATAAAATTGCAATTTTTGATGCGTTAAACAAATATAATCGAAATAATGAGGAAAAAACTCAGTGAAAAAAAATAAACTGCTGATAAAAATAAACCTTTTGGAAAGCGTTAATGATCGAGATGCAATATTGTGCGTTCTCGTTCAACGAATCACATTTAGGGAATAAAGCCTTCGGCTCTTCACCAACCAGGTCGTGCTCTGCGGCCAATGCTAACTCTTTTGGGCAAACCTCGGTCTAAAGTAATTTCACGGTCAAGAATACGTCTGTCTTAATGTGACGACAATGATTATGATGCGGTCAAAAGATGGCAATGCAGTCAAAAGTCCAACCTGTAAAGCGTAACAATCCTTGCGACAAATCGAGATGATTTGATTCTGAGTCGATAAATTGACTTCAGAATGCTGAGATTGATGGGCTGATAGCAAAGACTTATCACAAACTTTATACATATGATAACACGCAACTGCGTGTGAATACTTCTTACATTCTGACGAAATATCTGGACTATTATTGATGAACATCATCGCGGCTCGAAGATTGCGATCTGAATGAGAGTAAAGTTTTATGATGCAAACCACAGGCATACAACTCATAACTCTGAATAATAGAATAAATGACCGAAACGAACCGAGATCATACATATCCTCTCGGCTCTCACTAACGATTCGAATGAAACGACCGTTCAAGAAATCCGAACACGCATCACCCCTGTACAAGACACACTCGTTCAAGCGCAGACTCAATCCATCCAGCCATCGGTCGTTACGAGACGACTGCACTGGGATATAGCCATGACCAGCGGCTGAACTCGGCACTTCCCACGGGTTGAACTCATCATCCTCTTCAATCGGAAGACGTCCTAAACCACCCGACATTGACGATGAAACTCCTAAATCCTGAAATATATCTGTTACTATCCTAAATCTTGAACGATCAATGAGAAATGCTCACCTCGTCAAAGTAATCCTCCTCGTCTGGGTCACTATCGAAATGGTTCGATATCTTCGGTTTGGATCCCTTTAATTTATGAACACTTTTGGGATGCGCACCACTATCCTGAACATTGTTTACCTGAAACGATACCATTTTAAATGATATCAATAACAATTCCAAAATGTTGAACGTTCAAACAGAACACATAGCACCATATGGATATCATCTTCTTATAACGCTGCTCATCTATCATCTATACTCGGCCAAATGCTAGTTCGCATCATTCATTATTGCTTTCACTATTAAAGTGTCCACTTAATCATAATCTCCTAACATATGTGACCTTAATGAGCGATATTTCCCAAAACTACAACCTCACAAGCGGGATCTCGGGGATCTATCACCCCTATGGCGATATCTCTAAAAGGATATCTTGAATGGGTGTTTTTTTTT